CGGGCTGAAACTGACACGGGGCCCGTAGGCCCTTGTTTTCAGGCTTTCAGGCTGAAACTGACACGGGGCCTGTAGGCCCTGGTTTTCAGGCTTTCGAGCTGAACAGACACGGGCCCTGTAGGCCCTGGTTTGCAGGCTTTCAGGCTGAAAACGACACGGGCCTGAAAATGGCCTGTGCAGCCTGTTGCAGGCGCAGCATGTAACAGCCAGGGCTTTCACACCCCTGATGAATGATTGAGAGTTTTCGATTGCAGTCCGAGTCGGATCAGAGTCAGTCCATGTATCTCAAGCATACTTGCGGCGCATTGATGCGGTGCGCGATGCACAGGGAACCAAACCTCACACTGCTCACAGGGAAGAATGGCGCATTCCACAGCTGATGCAACTGCCGCAAAGCATAAAATTTGAAACTTGAAACTTGAAAGTTGAAACAAGTTCAAATAACACATCCCACAGACCAGCATTTTTTCTTTCTTGGTTTTTTGTTTTTTCTTCTTTTCTTCTTTTCTCTTTTCTTTTTCTCTAGCAGGATGCGGAACTCACCTGTAAGTCGTGTTGCGTGTGCAATGGCAGCAGCAATGTCCACAGTTTCCACACACAGCCATCATGAGAGGAAAAAACAGGAGACACGACAATCAGATCACAGCAAATCACATCACGGTCTTTCGACACACACATTTTGCAGCAAGAAACTGAACTCACGAAAGTTCAAAAACGAATTATAAAGAACACACAAACTGAAACACTTCCAAAACAGTGGGAAAGACTGAAAATTTCATAAGCAGGCAACAATGTGAACACTACTGTGACTGATCGTCCACTGGACACTCGACTGTATCTACGTGATGTGCGGATTGTGCGGTCTACTGTGCCTCCTCCCCTGACTCGTGCTCCCCGCCAGACTCCTCCTGCGACTGCTCATCCTCGGAAGCCTCCTCCGATGATGACGAGGATGATGACGATTGGGCTCTTTCTTCGGAGGAAGATGACGATGAAGACGATTGCAGATTGTCATCGTCATCCTCCATGCCCCGGCGCGCATGCTTCCTCTTCGGCCTTGCATCTGCTGCACCGGATCCTTTTGCTGCCTTGGCTGCAGCCTCTTCATCTTCTGCGGCCTTCTTCGCAACCTTCGCTGCAGCATTCGTAGCCTTCTTTGCAGGTGAAAGAGGAGGCCGCCCCCTCTTCCTTTTCGGCGGCGCGACTTGATTGCCTCCTTCCTTACTCTTCCCCTTGCGCGTTGCCCCTGCTTCATCGGGCTCGGGTGTTGCTGCGTTTCGTTTCCGTTGTCAGGCGGCCACAAGTAGTGCGCCGCCTGAAAACGGCAGTTTAGGGGTTTAGGCTCAGGGTTAAGTCCGCGTTTTGACAAGTGCTTTGGGATGACCGGGCTGCAGGAATTATGAGAACTCAGGGTACCCCTGATTCTGGACGCACTAGATTTTAAGAGTAACCCCCAAAGACAGCAAGATGGATGGGTGAGAGAGGGAGAAGTGACTGTGTAAGAGAGAGAGATGAGACTGTGTGAGAGAGAGAGATGAGACAGTGTGACAGAGAGTGAGTGTGCTGCTATAGA